CCCCCCCCCCCCCCCAGCAACATAGAGCCTGTTATTCACCACAAAGAGGCTGGAGTTAAAGTGAGGAAGACAGGTTGAGGATTGTTCTATCCATTCATTCGTTTTGGAGTTAAAGCAATGAAATACCGCTTGCACAGCTACCTGAGCTGGAGCTCCAGATGTAGTTCCCTTGGCCTGGCTAAGACCATTATTTCTCTTTTGACCTGCCTCAACACCGTGAAACACATATAGACGAAACTGAAGCTGTTACATCGATCAGTTCCTTACCTAAATTGTCAGAAAACAGATTACTCTTTAAGGTAACAAAATTAGCCCCACCTTGCCAAATATTCTTAGCTGGGTTACACCTAAAAGCTTCACATGTTGATGCGATAATAACTGTATATACATAGTTTTCAACAGAACAAAGAGAGTCAATGTGAGCATTAGAGAAACCATGACTTAGAACTGAGGGGAGTGTTTCCCACGAGTTTGCTAACTGTGTCATATCGATAGTTGACCAAATCATTCGCCTTTGCAGCTACATACAAGTAATTGCCAACATACTCTGCGCAAGAACACTCTGTTGCCTCAGTTAATTGTGCCATGGATGACAAAGGTTTCCATGTTTTGGCTCCATCATCAAAGTACTGCATCTGAGACTGAGGGAGAATGGCAACAAGAACCTAAAATGAAGCAAGTTCAGCAGATTTGAGCTTATAAAACAAAGAGCACAAGATACACTAGACAATGCTTATACGTTTAGTTGAACAGCATATCCGTTTTGCTTGTCTTATTTGGTATTAGCATATCAATTATATTAATTCAAAAAATGTACAGGAGGCCCTTACTGGACAATAATCAAAATGTGCAATTATTTATAACATAGGTTTCATGCTCATACGTACTCGATTGTGTTACTTCATGAACGAAAATTACTCTACATATTCTTCCCCTATTAAACCCATGTTGGGATAAAGAGAATTTTAAGTCTCCTTATTCGGTATACTTTTTCTTACCGACTTCATTGAACGTGGCTTTACTTTCTCTACTGGAAAATTGTGAGAAGGACTGTTGCACCTCATGTAATTGCTTGGAAATCTCTGGAATTCGCTGCATCTCCTCTGTATTTAGTTCTTCAATCACAAGTTTGACGTCCACCAGTCCCAGACGAACAGCTCCAATAACTTTGGCTGCGACTGCCATCCTCTTTTCCTTCGTGTGTTTAATCCACTACATCACTGATTTGAAGATGAAAGTCTCCGAGAGTCCACTGAGGTCTCCTCTACTGAGGAGGCTGGATAATTGGTCTGCGCCAATATGGGTCAGGAATTCTTCGTTTTCACAAATATCCTTGAACATCGATGCCATCCTTGGTCCGCCGCTTCTTGCAGATCTCTCAGACCGTGTCTATCGACAATTATCCAAACGCGACAATACGTTTGCACATCAAACCGAAGCTGGACAAACTGGATCAGCAAGAAATCGCAGCACAGCTTAACAACGCTTGTAACTTGAAGATGATCAGCTGCGGAAAGAACTTCAAACACGTTTTCCTCGTTGACACGAAGATCTCCAGTGTAGATGGAGTCCATTACAATCTTTTAAGCATCAGGTGAAATGCTTTCATCTTTCAGTTCCATCACTTCCTGGTTCGACTCTTTCGTTCCAGCTGTAAACATGGCGTGGAAATAATCGCTATTCGCAGCGAGTACAATGCGATGAGCAGGAAAGATGTCTTCACACACTTTTAAACGAACGTCGATGAATTGACCTTCGTCTCGAAACTGCGCACATTTGGATAAAAGAATCTCGGAATGGGCGACCATCTTGCGATGTTTTGCTCGTCCTGTTTAAAATACAAATCTGATAGATCATGGCGTGATTACCGAGTCTGCCTAAAAACATTACGCGAGCAATGTCACGAAACTATTTGCTGACAGTCTCTCGTCTCACTCCCAGGGCCTGCGCGATTCCTAGTGCTTGATGCGTGAGTGCCCTAAAGCCTCCCACATGTAAACAACTGACGATCTTTCTAATGAGCTCATATTGGGTATTTGTGGCTTTTATCGGTTATCATACCAATATCTACTTAAGGTAGGCCGATAGATGTCTTAAGCGTTGATATCAAGTTTATAGAAACACGAGTGGAACTTTGAGAAATGGAGAAATGGTACTTTTAAGTTCTACCACTGAAGCTCTGGAGGTGTCTAAACCATTAGAAAAATGAGCTCGAGATTTCGATCGCGTGAGTGTTGACGAGGGCGCAGCTCGAGTCAACCATCACGCATAGAAATCAAGAGTGAATAATCTAATTGTTTCAGTGCAAATCTACTGCTCGGTCCAAACGTTATCTAACTCCTCTTTACAGCTATTTCGAAAACGCAAAGAAGCGGCCGCCATTTTGGTCGCTTGCGAGAAGTGGTTACAGAGGAGGCTCAACGGATGGTTTTGTTTTCGCTGCTGCTCCCGCCATGGTAACTTAAGCTCACTTAGACTAGTTATCCTAAAGTACATTCCTCGTTGTTTTAAGGGTTGTGAATATGCTTCTGAATAAAAATGGAAGGCATCACTTTACAGGGATAGTGTAAGGTACAGATTGTAAACAGGCCTTAGTTTGGTGAACATAAATTTGAAGAGCAAATCAGCAGACTTCATGGTAATGTAGGGAAGGCAAAAATGATGTACACATTGGACTGTCAAAGGTTCAAAAGGAAATTTATTGTTAATCTTGTAAATTACCTAAATCTCTGTATATTAGGAATACACGAGCTTGTACAGCTCTTAGACGTGACGTGCCTAAATACAGTATTGTATTGCACTGTATTGTATTGTAATCACATTGGAGCGCAGAATAACTGTAAATTATTTCTAGATTTATTGGTAACTGCTAACGTGAAAAAAAATCAACACTAGAAGTGAGAAAAGTTCTGTTATTCAATATTCGAAAACGATCTTACATACACATGTATAGTGCTTAAGCTACGTAGCTTATTACTGATAACAGCCTGCAATGTCTCTAGAAGAAAGGTTTTCAACCTTTATAAGATAATTAAGTACCGAATGTATCTTATTTTCTGTATTTCACACAGACCTCTTCACACAGTTCTAAAGTGACTTTCAAAACTAATTTAAACATACACTACGGGGACATTTGAAAGTCTGTCATTGTGAGTTCAAAACTAAAGCGGTTTACGCTGAGTGTCAAGAGTAATTGGTTTTACTACGCTACATACACTATTGACTAAAAAAAAAAAACTCGCGCCACTTTCTTATCCAATCAGAAGTAAAATCAAAACCAATAGTAACTCGCTCCCACACGTCTTTGCGTCAGCTACATGTATTTCTTTTGATTAGTTAATTCGATTCTTTGTGCATTTTCTGACTGAACAGAGTGATTTCTTTGGTTTTGGTTTTAAGCAAGGTGGGAATTTGATAAAATTGGATTCAAGATAGGGGAGGGGGAACTAGTCTTCCCTGTCTCTCATCTCCTTCCTGATTCTCATGTTTATGCTCGCTTTGGCCACTCCTTGCTTGGCTCACTAACTGCTTTCCTTCGTGCAGTAATTCACGTATTGTGCCCTGTGCAAAGTGATTACAAGAAAATTCTTACATGTTTTAATGTACAAAATTGATGTTTTAAGTCAGTAAAAAAAAATCTCACTCTGATTTCACACACTCTCTCTTCACTGGCATATAACACAGAACAGCAGTTTTGTCGATTTTTCCTAATTTTTCCCACCCACCCAAATGAACAGGATACAGCCTTCCTGGTGGGATTCTTATTCCACTGTTAACTGGAAATGTGTTTATCATGAAGTAAATCTTCCCTTCTATTTCCACTGCATTAGGGTTATTTGGGGGAATGTGGTATTGTTCCACAACAGACCAAGCGTTTTTTTCCTCATCATATCCTTCTACAGCTGCTTGGTTACCAGAAAAATTCCCACTAATGTCACTAGACTCATACCCCCCTGCAACATAGATTCTATTGTTTACTACAAAAAGACTGGATCCATAGTGACGGTTATGGCTTGTTGCTTTTTCTTCCCATTCATTCTTAACTGGATCGAAGCAGAATAGCCCTGCCTTCTGCGTTGACCAGTAGCCACCTGAATTTAGTGCGAAACGTCCATAAAGGACATATAGCTTTGAGTTAAGTACTGCTGCTCCGCTACAGGAAAACCTGTAACCACCTGGAATACTTACTTTAGCAAACGTTTGCCACTGACATTTAGCAAAGCTATACCTTTGACGAAACTGATTGCAGTCCAAACTAACTGCATACATGTAATCGTCTACAATGCATAAATTGTTGATTTTACCACATTTGTGTGGCAGCTTCTCCCACACATTACCTTCTGTATCATAACGATAAATGTAATAACTATCCCTTGTTGCAGATCCAGCAACATACAGGTTATTACCAACCGAAGCTGCACAGTAGCAGTACGGTGCCTCAATTGCTGGTGTTGTGGACGCCAACGGTTTCCATGTTTTGGCCTCAACATCAAAATACTGCATTTGAGCCTGAGGCAGAACAGCAATCAGGACCTGAAATAACAGGAAAAGAAAAGAGAATTCTAATTATAATAATTATTTAAAAATTGGCTAACACTCCCTCCCCACCTCCCCACAAATTAAGTATAGTGGTCCACTCCTACCAGAACCAAAGTGCGTGTATCAAAGACTCAGATTTCGTGATAGGCCATTACTGGAAAATGATCAACCACACATTTTTATATGACTTCCAGTAATGCCAAACTTATGTATCACGCAAACGTACTTTAAGGAAAATTCAACGAACTTCACTTCACTTCGTGGCAATTTCTATGAATTTGGATGGAGGTAAATAGAGAGGTTTAGAAGTTGGCAGGATTTATGCATTATAGAATCGATCGCATGGCTTTGCTGGCTTTGCGATGAGAAATCCAAACTCTCTTACCGGGCTAGTGGATCTTGTTTTTGTTTTCTCCATAGCAAATGTGGGATTACGAGAGGGCATGAAGTTATAGATTAACGCCTTATACACCAGCTTGTGAATCTCTGAAACCCCCTGCATCTCTTCTGTGTCCAGTTCTTCAATTACAACCCTGATATCCACCAGCCCCAGACGAACAGCTCCGATAACTTTGGCTGCAACTGCCATCCTCTCTTCCTTCTTGTGTTTAATCCATTGCATCACTGATTTGAAGACGAACGTCTCCGAAGGTGCACTGAGGTCATCTCGACTAAGGAGGCTGAATAACTGATCTGCGCCAACATTAGAAAGGAATTCTTCGCTTTCACAGACATCCACGTACATCGTTGCCATCTTGTGCTCCACTGCCTCTTGTAGATCTCTCAGACCGTGTCTATCAGCCACTGTGGAAAGCAGACAGTAGTTGTGAAGGTCCAGTCGGAGCTGAATAAATTCCCTCTTCAAGAAATCACAACACTGTTGAACAACAGTTGTGACTTGAAGATGATCAGCTGCGGCAAGAACTTCAAACACGTTTTCCTCGTTGACACGAAGATCTCCAGTGTAGATGGAGTCCATTACAATCTTTAACGCATTAGGTGAAATATTTTCATCTTTCAGTTCGATGACTTCCTGGTTGGACTCCTTCATTCCATCAGTAAACATGGCGTGGAAATAGTCGCTATTCGCAGCGAGTACAATGCGATGAGCTGGAAAGATGTCTTCACGCACTTTTAAACGAACGTCGATGAATTGACCTTCGTCTCGAAACTGAGCACACTTGGATAAAAGAATCATGGAATGGGCGACCATCTTGGGAAGCTCTGCTTTACATTTCCAACGCGCCCAGTTATTGATTGAAATGCAAATTTGATAGATCGATCTTCATCTGATCGCATGTCTGACTTTAAAATAACGTCACGCGAGCAAGGTAACGATTCACGAAACTGTCGCAGTCCCGGAACCTGCGCAATTCCTAGTGCTGTGCCCTTCATGTAACCTTCAAAATACGTCTTCCCACCCGCTCCTTCAAGGCAAGACCCAGTACACTGGGCGAAAAATTAGATTTGATTCGAGATGAATGTTGTGTAAATATGATTCAAGTATGACATTTGTCATATTTGTCCATATTTAATTGAGAGACAAATATGGTATTTATCCTCAAGATAAATAGGATAATGATGCATTTGCTCCAATGACAAATATGAACAAAGGTGGTGTAAATCCAAGACAAATATCACATTTGTTCCGTTTAAATACAGACAAACGTGTTTAAAGATGGCATTTGATGTTGGCAAATGTGGATCTTATGTCATCTTCAAACTAGGGGAATATATATTTGGATTTGTCTGAATTTTTTTAAAATTTTTTGATAAACGGACAGAATTATAGAATATCCCCCGATCTATTGGTTATTTTATTCCGTTTGGATTTCCCGAAATAACGGTTAAACTATGTCAGTTCCATCATGTGCCACGCCAGACTAGGACACCACTCACCACTGTAGTACTCTCTAAATTCTACTCTTTCTTGAAGCAACAGGACAGAGCTTACTAATTCAAAATCCTTTATTCTTTTTGCTCAGTAATACGGTTGGCATTTAAAAAAATAATGCGTGTTCAAAACATTTATTTATCTTTACCTTGATTGAGTTAGTACAGCCAGTGAGGCATCACACTAACTGTTCATTGCTACTGAGTACTATTAATTGGTACGGAGATTATTAATACACATTCTTGAGGTTCTCCGAGGGGAAGATACATGTCTAGTTTCCTTCTTGTTCCCTAATAATAAATTTTACTCTTACCAAAACTATTTTTCCAAAGTTCCCGTTAATACAAAACTTAATTGTAGACTCATCCCTTGGTTCCTCAAAATAACCTAAAAAACCATTGTTCCTTTAAAAAAATAAATGATGACATTTACTTGTTTACCAAAAGCCCTTAGGAACCAACTAAAACAAAAACAGAACATTTGCAAGTTTGTCAACGTTTTTATTAACCAGCTCAAATATGTACACATTTATTGAAAACATCCAATTTCAAACTGCTTGAAAATACAATTATTAAACTTGAACTTCTAAAACTTCATATCAAGAGATAGACAGAGGGCCAAGCAAGGGAGAAACATTGTGAATATTATGTCAAAAATAACGCCAAACACTCTGGACATGCAGGTATATCATTGTAAATGCATTGCTTGTATTTCTGGTG